ATCCATCCATCCATCCCCAGGACTGGAACCCTGGAATTCTCAATAAATCCATTATTTTTTCTTCTCACTGAACTCAAAATGCTCTTCCTCCATTAACAAAAATCGTGCCAAGAACCTCCCAGTCAGAACTTGGATCCTCCTCTTACAAAAAAAAAAAAAACCTCAGAAAAGCACTGATAAAACAAAGCTTCCAGACAGTTTCCAAAAAATAACCACCTCCTTTCCACCTCAGCACAAAAAAAAGCTGTAAAAGTTCCTTTTTCTTGCACAGAATCAAGAGCAGGGTGTTAGGGGTGTTTACAAATAATACAAGAAAATMAGTAAAGAAAGGTGGAAGAATTCGTACAAGATCAACTTTGAATCTGATGAAAATAAAACCATGGAAATGTTATTCCATAATAGATTCCTTTAATGTATTCTGAGCTTAAAAGGTCTAATTAGAGTAAAAGAGCAGTTTTGAATGTCTGACAAAAATAAACTATGGAAATGCTGTTTCATAATAGATTTTTTTTCTGTGTTCTAAGCTTAAAAGGTCTAATTAGAGTCAGTTGAGGCATAGACACAAAGTAATGCAAAAATACAATTCTGATCTGACTTATTTTGGGGAGCAATTTTGCAGCATTATCAAACAGGTTCCTGCAAAAAACCTCACCAGTTTTATTTCCTTGGAAATATGCATTCAGGGAAAAAAAATCTACTAAAATGTGAATAGCAAGAAGAAAGCTTCAATTTTATCTGGAAAATGATATGCTGGACAACTTGAAATCACAGATATTCCAAGTGTAAATTGGAGATTATTTCAATATTATGTATTTAGTGCAGAAAAATTGAGTGAGRAGAAGGTTTAGAGGAAACAAACCACATAAAAAATCGTAGGCTGGGATCTTGGCAGAGCARTAAAATCCAAATCAAAGAGTTTTTCTCGTGTCCCCCTTCCCCAAAGGACTGAGCAGCAGAGCAGGAGCACCCTGGAGTGAAGATTTTTTTGGGAAAAACCTGGGATGAGGTGAAAGCTGCTTCTTTCAGAACCTGAAAACGCAGGATTTGGGAAGGAAGGGCAGCCTGACCTCGTTTTAAATCGAGAGGGAGAATTCCAGCAGCTTCTCTGGAGCAAACAGGAGATAAARGAAGGCAGGAAAGTGGCAGCCAGCAGGAACCCAGACCTTGTCCAGGAGTGGCTGCTGATAATTGAAAGGAAAGCACAGAAATCACTCCCCTCCCATCCACTTATTTTCAGTCCAGTTTGCCAAAGGAACAGAAAAGCCGAGCTGGGATTTGAATTTTTGCTAAAAYTGTGCACTCTGAAAGGGTCTGGTTGAATAGCAGGAGCCTCACAGGCTGCAGCAAGGGCACTTTCCTGAAAGCCTTGGGTTTAAAAGGATTGTTTGGGCAAAGACAGAGCTG